GTCCCATCACCAGAAAAAAGCTTCATCATGGCTTATAATAAATGTGCTGCTAGGATAACATTAATATCTTGGCATACTTTGTATGAATCAGTGTCAAGTGTAGTTTAAAGATCTTTAGTTTGTTTTTTTTTTTACTTTTAATGAGCTTTATGTTAACAACATGTTATGCGTTTAAAATTTCTAAATTCGAAAAACAAATCACAATTTATTTAGTTTACTGTGAGTTTTCATGCTTTTGTGTTTGCCTTTGTTAGGATTATTACAGCTAATCTCTGTAGCTGTGATTGTAATCTGTTATGCTCCTGATGTCCTGCTCATAGTGTGACCTCACTATTTCATGCTGATGCTTAAAAAAACGCTGACTGACTTAGTCTGGATGTTGGCACTTTAATCTCAAGTTCATCCCTGTCTCGTGTGCATTCCATGAACTGTTCTGCACAGTACCTCCCAATATGAATACAGCCTATATAACACACACACACACACACACACACACACACACACACACACACACACACACCAATCACCTTATGCTGTGCTGCAGTACGGAGCTCACACCCACCGATGAACTCACCAACGCCTAACGACAGACTATGATCGTAGATTTCCTAACAAGGACACCAGGTCGTTTTTAAAAATCACCTTTAAGCATGTGTCACTACTGAAGGCTTGAGTTTAGAGACGTTCTGCTTTTGTACCAAAGCTCTTTTCCATCCATTTACTTTTTGTTTTAAACTGTTTTACTCTAACCAGTCTCAACTGTGTGGCTTGAAAGCAGTTCKTCTGCAGTGCGTTGCACACTGCAGTTCTGTCAGATCTTGGGATTTATCTGAGACATGGGCTGTTATTTGTGTTGTGGCCTTGCTACAGTGGCAATTACAAAATGTGTTGCTGTGAGCAGACGCTGCCCTGTGAAGGAAAAGGCTCACTGATGTGTGGAGCGGAAAACAATCAAGTTAAGATTAAAGATCTGAATTCAGTGGAGGAGTTATTACATCGCTAACTTTTGCCTTTGTGCCGCTTACATGTCATGATTCTGGATTCTTGGTGTTTCCTTGTTTGCTTTGTAGTTTTTCATGCTGCTGTTTGTTTGTGTTTCCTTGTGTGTTTTCTTGTTCAGTTTGTTTCATTGCCTCTCTGTTTTTCCATTCATTTTCATTACATCTCCTGTATGTCAGCTTCTGCTCGCCTGGCTTTTTTWATTTATTTAYTTTTTTACAGTTTTGGGTTTAAAATCTGACAGGTTGGTAGAGTTTTTCATGGTCATTTGAGGCTTGTAGAAGCTTCAAACTGAGTCAGTAGGTGAGGGCACACAGGACCACCCAGAAAGGGCCGGATCAACTTAAGAAAAACGACTGTCTGATTTTGATGGATGCTGGATGTTAAAGAAAGAGGCCTGGGTTAGTTAAACCCTCAACAGGCTCAAAGTGATTAAACACAGCTAAACACAGAGACAAGATGAATGGATCATGAACTGTACATATTTCCAAAAAGTAGTTAAGAAATTTCTAACAAAGTTCACAGGAAGTGTCCGGAGGGAGAGGGTCACTGAATTAAGAACTAAGCTAAAATAGCTCAGGGGGACTTGTGAGAGTTGGAGTTTTTACTTTATGAATTTTAAACTAGCTTTATTAAAGATATCTTAACATCTCATAAGCTTCCCGTTAAAAGCATCAAATAATGATGGAATATTTCTTTCAATGACTCATCAGTAAGTAACAGCAGACAATGAGTGTTTCATTAGTCTTACACTAATTCACTGTAATTCCATTGTGCTTAGCTGCAACTCAGCTCATATTTCTCTGTCAAACCCAAAGCTTGTCTCTTTAACTTGTTCATGTTCAGGTTTGAGACGTCGTCATTCAAGTCACGTCTCTCTTATCCGTTTCAAACACTCTTACCTGTCCCATCCTGTCAAGTCCTGTTTCGTTCTGTTCCACTGCATCTGGTTCTGTACTGGTCTGTCCGGTCCTTCTCCACTCGGGGTTATCCAGTCATTTCTCGGCCAGGAAGGTTTCATTTCATTTTTTCTTTTTTTTTCTGCTTGGCCTTCAGAGGAGTCGAACGCTTTTTGCTCTCTCTCCCGAACCTCCCTTTTTCCCTGCTTTGCTGCCGGATCAAGCCTTTCTTCTACCTATCATTTGAAAACAAAATAATTATGGAACTGGTCAATTGGTCTCTGAATGCAATTGATACTATTTTTTTCCACTCTGAGATTGGAGCAAGGGGAGCGCARCTGTCGTTGGGGAACCATCGTGGCCGGGCGTGTGTCGGGTAGCTGGGGGTGGAACCTGATCTGCCTAGCCCCGCTTTCCATTGAAGATGTCAAAGATGTGTTCATATTCGGATTTATGATAATCGGATTCCTGCTGATCGGCTGTGGAGGAATCCTGATTTATCGGAAAATAAAAATGATCCTGACAGCAGTGCGGGCCTGTGAAAAGCTGTCAGGGACCTTGGATGGAATTTCCYGTACTGCAAACGCACAGACTCAAATGCTGGGGGATTYAAGTCACAGACTGGATGTGGTGCTGATGAGGATCACAGTTCAGCAGCGTGCCCGTGAGGAGTGAGYTACATCTGGGTGAAGTTTGATACGGGAGAGGCGTGGTGTTAAGCGAATCTGGAACATTGGCATTTTCACAACACAGATGCGCAGTTAAGACTTTAAAGCAGTGAAAGAAAGGCTGCTTGTCCTAAAGAATTATGCTTATCATTAGATTCCCACAGCTGTGACCTTGGTCGCAGGCTGAAAAAACCTCCCTGGAATGACACGTGAAAGAAAGCCTTGACTCCCCCCACCCCCCACCCCTACAAGTTCTGTAGGTGTTTGGGACCGGTCTGAAGGCCGCTTTGGATGGAGACAGAGAACTGAACTATGTGACTGATAACAACTGGTATGGACTCTGAAGGTCTTCTGATCAGTTTCAACACTGAGTTCTGTCCTGAATGTCACCGGCTCCGCTGCATCCCTCCSCATACCATATGTTTTGACCCCCCACCCCCTCCCCTCCTTAACTAACTGCACTGTCGCAGAGTAGGTTTTTTTTTAGCATATGCTTGTGTGCTTTCTGTATAAAACACAGGATCAAAGCTCTTTTGTTAACTCACCCTTCCTATGTGTGTGTGTATTCTAAATTCACTACATTGCGAAAGACCCTGGACATTCGTTCCCCATGTTTGTTATGTGTGTGTGTTTGTCTGGACGGATGTTCTAAACTGCAAATTTCGTTCTGCACTGCATCTTGATGTTGTGTGAATGACAATAAACGATTCTGAAATTTTTAACTATGTGTAAAATTTAAAAATGCATTTTGTGAGCACATCTATGTGTTAAGTCAAACCGTCTTTGCTGATCTGGTTCAATACAAAACAGCACTGATGATGTAAGACGTGTTTTTATTGTAAATAAACTGGCTCAGAGATGGGAATGGATCATGTATTTTTACCTGTGGAGTAAACCATGATATAGTTTTAGTGTGGAAATGCTGAAATATCTAAACAAGTTAAAAGCAATGGATATAACAAAATCACAAAACAAGGACAGTATTGAATAGAGCAGGGGTGTCAAACTCATTTTCAGACAGGAGTCATCTTAGGCCACATTTGGCCTGCAGGCCTTGAGTTTGACACATGTGGAATAGAGGAACAATTTAATAAGTTCATACTTATTACTACTACTACTTTCCCATTTTGAAATGATATTGATCTATTTGTATATTTCTTTCTTGATTCCTTCAAAATGCTGTAATCTAAAATGTTGTGCATGACTTGACATGAATTATTAATATTTGTCATTTYGGCTCTGCAACCCTCCCTGCTGATGCACCATCTGGTTGTGATATTTTAACTGGTTCACACAGCATATCTGCAGAGACTGGCGTACTGTGGCTGCATGGTGGTTAGCCCCTTCACCTTACAGCAGGAAGATCTCTGCTTTGACAGTCAGTTGACCCAGGCCTTTTGTGAGGAGTTCAGCAGGTTGGCATTGATTTCCTCACAAAGTCCAGAAGGCTGTTTGGTTGAAAAGAGACTGTTTCTGTTGGTCTACAGTGTCTGTGTTCAGTGTTGCATCACTCAGGCAGCATGAGAACTGGGTCAGGCCTAGTGTTTTTTAATCATTTTAATGTATATGTGTGTGTTTATTAGGAAATTCACTTGGATAAAAACTCATGTATAGTCACAGCAGTAGTAATATAACCTCAGAACTCTGAGCGGTAAATTGTTTTTCACAGTTGTTTGGCCACAGCACTCCTATTAACAGGTACGTTGCACCAGATTTCAGTTCTGGCCCCTCGTGAGCAGGGATTAYAGGCTCTGTAACACACTGGTGAGGGTCAGAAAAGTTTCTCTGCTTCCTGCCTCTCTCTTTCTCGCACACAAACATCCTAAATCCTCTCTCCGTATCTAAATCTGTCTCGGGGCAATCAGTTAGCGTGTGTATTTTAAATCTGGCACTAATCTCCATTATTGGCATAAAATACTGGACAAGGTTAGCRTCACTGCTTTCAGTATTTAGGCACACAGATAAAAGGAAATATATGCAGATTTCATATTTTACAAAAATATCCTAAAACAATTATATACAGGGATGAGGTTGACCTTAGTTTGATAAACATCGTGCTCATTGAGAATTACAAATATTTAAAATTTTTAATTTATAGAATGCATCATTTTTTTTTATTTTTTACATAAAGCTTTCATTTATAGGAGTGATATTCTGTTTTTAGTTTGACCAAAAAAAAAAAAAAGAAAAAAAAATGAAACAGATGCCACAGATGACATCTCTGTGGAGTAAAAAAAATAGAAAGGCAAAATAAAATAGTCATAATAATAAACCAGATTTGGCTTCTGGGAGAAAAAAACAAGTAATTGAGAGTCTTAAAGAGCTTGTTTTAAAGGTGCTTGAATCAGCTGAGCATAAAACAACAGTAAATTAAGGAGCAAATCAAGAACTTACTGTTAATTGATTAAATGATCTCTTTATTTTTCTTGTGCAGGACAAGTTGCAGACCTTTGCCTTCCTGGTGTTTGTGGTGGTCTGCACTGTTGGATCCATCTACCTCTGCATCATCCTGCCTGAAACCAAAAATAAAACATTTATGGACATCAGCCAAAGCTTTGCAAAGATCAACAAAATGCCCATCCCTTCCCCGGGCCAGGAAATGGAACTGGTGCTGTCCATTAAGCCTGAAATAAATGGGAAAGCCCAAGATGCCACAAAGATAGAAAATTCTATTTAATAAAGAAGCAGGGTCAAAATTGAAAAAAGCCAAAATATTTTTACATATTTATTCGACCAGAATAATTGCCAAAATATGAAATGTATGCTTTTATTTTTTATTTTATATGTATTTAAGTAAAAAAAGTATTGTTTACTGTAATTGTTGGTTTATCTGTTAAAATGAAGAGAAAGGTTTTTTTTATATTTTGCTTACAGGTAAACCTCAGTTGGAGGAAGTCATCCACACTAGATACTGGAGGCAAAATATTGATTAAAACACTAACAAACAGTGGAAGGTGTGACTAAGGTATTTTTATAACATAGTTGTAGAAAATTGAGACACGTATGGGCAAAAATAATTAGGAAAAAAACTGTTTTTGATAATAAAAAGTTGAAAATATAATTAGTATACATAAAAATCTCCACCACAAAAACATAAAATGTGAATGAACAGGTTTACAGCCAGTGTTTGATTTGTGTATTTCTGTAATGTGTAGTGTCAGAGGGCAGCTGGGGCTATATTGTAACTTACCACCATCAGTGGGTAAATGGGTGAATAACTGAAGTGTAAAGCACCTTGGAGTCCGYAGTGACTTGATAAATACTATTTAAGTTCAAGTCATTTACCATGAAATGTAACAGTGCAGCAAAGTGGAAAAGTGAGAAGACCATCTTTAGATTTAAATGGCTCAAAACAATTAAAAATTGTCTTTTTGTGTACTTTTACACTAATACACATAATATTTAATATCTATATAGTATTTTATCCATT